TCTAGTTAATGATGAGTATTAGCAAGGATACTAACACTGAAATGCTAGTTGAAATAGTTCAGTTACATGGTATTTTCGTTTCTATGACTACTGCTACCTATTATACCTTTTAAAGTCACAGAAATGGAAATATACACAACAGTCATGCCAGTTGGTTGCCAAAACAAGGTTCTTTGCAGTATTCACCATAGGAATAACGGAAAATACCTCATATTCGAACAAATGAAATATGCTTGAAAGTCACCCAAAAATCTGATATTTACACTCACTTCCTAGTTTGTATTAAACTTCTTTCTGGTGTTGGAATACAAAACTATATTTTGAAGAACAATCGATTTTTTTCATCGGCAAAACCCGAAGTAACTTTGATATTTGAATATTAGTTCGTTTTCATCTGTGATAATTTGATTGAAATGCGTATCAGTTACATCTAAATTATATTTTATTCTTTATTTGAACTGTTTGTACTGTGGAAAATGTACTCATTTCCTTGTCCAATCTATTTACATTTCTCATACGCACTGACAGTTGACAGATTTTGCAACTACCTCTGTTATCTTGCATTCACGAAACCCAAATCTGTTTTCTGGCCAATGTCAGTATGCAGAAAGCTATCAGAAAATTGCCATGACAGATTCTGTAGCCTGCCCTGACGCGGAGATGTGATATCTGGTTTCCTTTATTTACCTTGCCATTAGCTGCGGAGATTTCCTTGTTGGGTGTTTTTCAATGACCTCTGACCATGTGGTTGTTCATCATTTTCTTACTGGTTGATAAATGAGATCCATGCCTGTAAACCTGTTGACTGCTGATAGGCCCGTATTCCGGGTTTCTGGGAATTTTCTGGTATTCTTTCTTTCCTCTATCCACCACTTCTACATTTTCAAAATCAAATTCATGTTTATTTTTGTCCACAAGAAGTGATACGAAAGACGAAATGCAGTGAGGTTTCACTGGCAACTGGTGTTATTGTAGATGTTGGTCATGAGTGTGAACAACTGATTAACTTGGTGTTTATTGCAGCCGATGAAAAAGTTTCTGTGGATAATATATGACCTATCTTCTTTGTACTCCTCATTTGAACTGTGTCATTTTCTCGAAAACCCACTGATTTTTCAGTTCAGGCTATTTACATTTCCCCTTAAAACTATCAGATAACAAATGCCGTAACCATCACTGAGTTAAAGAGTTTATTTATTTCTATCAGTAAATCCTATGAGTAATACTGTTTTATTCCTATTTATCCACAAAGGATAAGGTAGTGTTAGTTTCATACATTGAATGAACTTATTCATGCCAAAAATTCATAACCTAGGCAAAGCAAGTTAAATTCACCTAACACATAAATCTGTGTACACTTCAGATTTCACACGAAGTTGTCGTATTCAAAATAAAATGCTCTACAATAAACGGATATTACCAAGTGCTACTTCAGTTAAGTTAACATCTAGGAATTCGTTTTTCTATCTTCAAAATGACAAGTGAATGTGTGACTTATATGCGTGCAAAGTAAGCACTTCAGTTGGAATTACTAAAACATGTGATTACAATATATGAAGTAAGTAATCAGTTTGCAGTCATCTTGGTGACTTGCAGTGGAATCCATAACGTGCATTTCTTCCTTTTTGGGACTCGTTAGCAGGATGCACCTGTAACCCAGTGAGTGATATAGCTCCCATTGAGAATTAAAACCATTACGCACTGCTTCAAACGCCAAAGTGTTACGCAATGGACCACTGAGGCACTATGACTGCCACTCGTTTGATGGGTATCAAGTATCGTATTGATTTTGGAGTTTCCCGTTGTTATACAGGATCGAACTGCCCAACTTCTGTTGAAGAATCGGCCCCTATGAGGATGGCTCTCGTATCTCTGTGGTCTAGTGAATAACTCTCTAATGTTTAAAGCGGTGGATACCATGCTCCAGTCTCAGTGAGAGTAACACAAGTCTCCGTGGTGCAGGTAAATCCAGCTGACGAGGCGTGTATCCTGCATACCAGTACTAATCACCAGTATCCAGACATTTGCATAGGAGCCCATATGCCAACAGAGGTCAAGCAAAGTGGTATTATATGTATCAAACAACAGTAATCACTTTATTATCTCTTCACATAAAACGAGATATTTTTAAATGCTACGTCAATAGAGTTTAATTTGACCAGCTCTTGAAAAAGTGTTGCAGAGAGGTCCTGTTTCGCGAAGACCAACCTGATACCAGTATAAAACTTACTTTGTATCAAACTTCGTTGCGTTTTACTTCTTAGAGACATTGTTTTTAAACTTAATGAATTTCACAGCTTCTTTCAAACAATTACTGCAAACTAGAAAGTGATTATTGTCAATATAACTGCAAGATACACATTTCGATACTCACTAATCAGTATAGTTATTTCCTTATTGTTTCAAAATATCTTCAGTCACATTTGATGATCAATAATATGTTGGTAATAATATGTCAATGTAAGTCAAAATATTCAGCAGTGGCTCAATGTTGGTAATGCTAATAAATATTACTGCCATAATTGTTACGCTTCTTCACAGACTAGTCTGAAATGATGTTTAACAATCTAGTAAATGATTTTTAAGTCACTACCCAAACTTGAAGTTAAGAACATTCTGTTTAACTTGCCTAAGATGAATCACGAGTTTGATAGAAATTCATTTAAAGTGACCACTTTTTAAATCTGTATTATAGCTACATTTATGGTTAAATGACTAAGATAATTCTGTTTTCTGGTACATTAAATGCACTTTGATTATCTGATAACCTACCTTGTTTATAATTCAGTAATTAGTCGAAAATCTTTCTGTCTGAATACACATTTTAGTGTTAATTTATCCATTAAAATGCACAACAAACAAAGAGAGCAAACCAGCAGAGATATAACACAGTCAGCAATATGACAACACAAAGCATCCTCTTCGATAGTGTAAATAAATTGCACATGAGTTGAAAATAATCGATATATTAGGCTAATGAACAAATAACTATCTGAGAGATTTTAGCTGATTTTTTAAAGCTGAGAAATCATCGTCTTAAATTAGTGACAAATATACATGCACATAGTCCATGTTATGTCCTTTGCAGCTTTAACCTGAAATGAGAATCTTCTCATTGAAATATGTATGTTATTAGTCTTGCATTTCTTTAGTTTAAATATAGAATTTTCGTGTAAAAGTATCTAAATCAATAGGTTGTATTTTATTATTTTCAAAATGTTTTCGTAGAGGTATTGCATCGATGTAAGTGTTTAGTGATGCCTGCCATCTAGTTATATTCATTTTATAACTTATTCAGTCAAACAGAGTAGTGCAAAGATTGCACTAATTGAACATCCAATGTTTATTTGATTAAAAGAGTTTTTGCTTCAACGTATACACTTAATCAAATTTTTCAGTTAGTTAACTAGAAAAGTAATTATAAAAATCTTTAAATTAAAACAACAACTCCGTGGATTATTATGATTAACACATATTAACCTTAATGTATTTTATTTCATGAAGCAAATATAATGTGTAGAATAAGTCAATAATTGACTGTGGTGATTTCGTGAGTAGAAGGTAAACAATTCTTCAGTACTCTATAGTAATTCATGTAACAGAGAAAATATTTTGTTCATCTTTGTGGAACTCATTTGCATGGTTGATGATAAATGTCGTACCAACAAATAAAAATAACAATTTTCATTTTTGATGGCTTTGATGCTTATCTAATCTACTATTTTACAAAGTGCTGATAATTTCATCAACCCTAGTGATGAAACATACATGATCAAATAATAATGATCAGTGAACACTGAACGATTGTTGATCTCTTCCTGACTAAAAAGTCTCAGCTGCTTTCCTAAAATTATACAATGGAAGTATTACATCAGATGTATCATAAATTTCTACACACTTTAAACAATAAATGTATTGGGTTATCTTCTGAAGAAATAGATATCTAGTACATTAATAATCTCATTGTATAGCAAGTGAACATTGTAAGTCATTCATTTAGGGGATAATGCATGGGCATATGAAACTCTAGGTGCTGGGTTCAAGTATCACTGAAAACAATACTAACGGTGTAGCAGGTATATTTAAGTTAGGAACCATAAATAGGACAAAATGGATGTCATGGACTCCACTGGTAGTCATTAACCATCATCAGTGTCAGAAATTATATGCGGGCGATTTAAAAGAAAACTTTTGAGCCAAGTCCAGGTTAGCATAATCCCTAAAACGAACTACAAGTTAAAAACAAAAACCTATTATGTCGTGTTCACTTTGGCAATGCAGACAGGGATATATAGGAATAAGTCATAAAAACTATTATTGAGGTTATTCACTTTACATCTAGATTAGTTGATACTCGCAGGTTTCTTCTAGCACACTACATCTTGATTTTGCAAGTGATATGCATCATTATTTAGTAAATTACATTAGCTCGGTCCTCATGTTTTTCAAAACAATGTAATCCCTTGTTGGTAAAGATACCTTCAAATAAAATGGTATATTTGTGATTTGGAAAGTTTTTAGTAAAATCTATATATGAAAGGTGATACGATTTTAAAGGGAACTTAAATGAAATTTGATTCAATTATTAAAACATCTGAAATTTTTATTCTGATAGAATGCTAAATAAAGAATCAGTTTTCAGGTAACATTAATTTTCTCACATCTTAGTTTTTTCACATGATCACCTTTGATAATTAATTATGCTTTCCAAGTATACACTACGTTTTATTTCTAATCAACATGTATTCTTAGTTTAATCCTAAGAACTTTCTATACATATTGGCTAACAAATTTAATGTTATCTAGGAAAGAACTAGTTGCTCCAACTGTAATATTTATTACCCATTAATGTAGGTGTGTCTGTTTCTTGATTAGCATAATTTTCAAAAGTGAAGGATCTTCAAGTTAACTAAGATAAGATCATCACTACATATGAGTTAAGGTTCAATGATAAAAAAACTTAGGTGGTATAAAAATGTCACGAATAACAGCTGACTCACTATATTCAATTTCTAATCCAAGGTATTTTATTTTATTAGCTTCATGGAATGCTTTTTTCTTGAGGCGGCAGATTCTAAAAAGCAAATAAACAATATGCTCTTCATAATTCTATACATTCATACTATTACACAAGATGTCTAGATAAATTTGTGGCAAATATGCTAAACTACAGGTTACATCCTTAAGTAAATGGTTTTATTACTAAACATACTTTTGGTGTTAGAGATTAATTCCTAGTTCACCACTGTAATGTAGGTATTATGCAGTATTATCACTGTTTTATGCAAATATTCAAATCTTCACGACGATAAGTTTCTAAACATTTTAAATTAATTATTAACTGGTCCAATTTATAAATCATTTTCCATAACCCTCGTTATTTGCACACACAATTTCCTTAAAAAACTTTTTAATTCACTTATTCTTAGTCACGTTTCTTTTCTTGCAGCTTGAGAAGTTTGTCGAGGTTAATCATGGCAGTGATTTACAGGATTCCTGTATTTAGCACTTTATATTATTCTTCTATATGTCCCTTGGATTCCTAATGGAGCAAAGGGCATCAGTAGCACGTCTCCAGTACACTCTGTTCTCTGAAATCTTTTCAACCTGGCTCCACAACAGCCCACAAGCTCTCATTTCCTCCTCGCACGATCTCCTCCATGTCACCCTCACCTCGGACACCCAACTCGTCGCTTCCCATGGGGATTCCACTCGAGGGCCTGACCTGACGCGTGATGTCCCCAGTCAGTCTTCTCAGTGTTTGTCCAATTCACCTCCACTTCCTTCTGCATATTTGTTGGGTAATAGGTTCTTGGTTGGTTCTTTGCCAGCCAGACAGCCAGAGTTCCTTGTTGCTTATTCCTATTATTCAGGTCATCTGGTCTTCAGTAACGTGTGGGCAGTTGTTGATATATGTCTGCAGTTTGTTGGAAGTGGTTTTCATGACGCGCCAAGTCTCTGAAGCATATAGAAGCACCGACTTGACTGAATTGGTGTTGAAAATCCGGATGTTGTACACGCTTTATACTGAATGCAGAAGATCTCCACACTGGTTTCAGGTTAATTAATGAAAGCCTGTCTTGCTTTTCCGATCCTGGTTGGCTTTGACGTCCTCATCTGTGTTTGTGTCACCTGTAGTTGAAACAGTGCTGCCTAGATAGGCGAACGAGACTACTTCCTTTAGGTTTCTCCTGTTGATGGTGATTTGTGTTTGTTGTTGTCGTTGGTGATGGCGTTGGCTGGGTAACTTCATCACTTCTATCTTCTCTATATTCACTTGAAGTCCAGTCTTCGCTACCTTGCCTCTTCTGTCAACTTGTGAGTTTTCGCCTGTAGATCTTCAAGTTTGTGTGACATTGAACACAAGTCATCACTGGCGAAATCCAAATCTTCTAGGATCTTTTCCCCGGTTCAGTCAGCGTATCTCCTTCTTCTCGCTCCCCACTGTTTGCTGCATGATCCAGTCCAGTCGAACACAATCAGGAAGATGATCAGTGATAGTAGGCGGTAGCCTTGTTTTACTCCTGTCTTCACTTCAGAAGCATCACTGAGCTGAGCTTCCCACTGTGAATTACTTGGCATGTGGCATCTTCATATAGTTGTTGAATGAGATTGATAAAGGTTTGCGGTATTTCGTAGTGCTGAAGCAGCTGCATGCCAAATTACTTCTCGGTCGAGGCTGCCGAATGCCGGCCTTCTCAAAGTCGATGAAGTTGAGGTAGAGGATTGACGTATTTAGCATTTGCCATTGGTTTAAACCAGGAAGTTCATTAAGCCGTTTATGTTTCTATCGATAAAATGACTAAATACTGTTAGACTTTACGTCACGTATTTTATCTTCAGCATTCTTCAAGAATTCTGTAGCCACTCGAATCTATAGAATGCCTGCACATCAAGAGATATAAAATTTCAGAAAATCAACACGATCAAATAATTTTACAATATCAAGTAATAAGTTTAACCTCGCCTGGTTAACTAGTTTACTAGTTACTAGCCGGTCCTAAGCCCGGGTAAAGAGGGAAGGTTGGGCATAGGGCTAGCAACCCTACCCCGTAAAACAAATCTAACCGCTAAAGAAACTTCAAAGCACAAACAAAATATAAAAAATGAAAACAAACTTATTCCCCGCTGGAATCGGAGAGGCGAAATGACGCCAGTTGGTGAAAGCCTTCGGGAAGCCAATTGGCCGATGTGTCTTCTCTCGATGAAAGCGAAAGTAAACGTGGGGACATGGAATGTCCGCACGATGTTTGAACCCAGTAAGGCAGCCCAGATTGCAAAGGAGATGAGAAGGTATAACATCGAAGTGCTTGGGATTTGCGAAAGCAGATGGAATGGGAGTGGACTCTCCAAACTGTCAACGGGAGAATCAATAATCTACTCCGGTCACCCAGACGCCAACCACGAGCACACTGAGGGAGTGGCTATCATGATGTCCTCAAGAGCATCGAAGGCTCTCATGCAGTGGGAACCAATCTCCTCCAGGATCATGACAGCAAGATTCAACTCAAAAGGAAGAAAGGTCACAATCATACAATGTTATGCACCTACAAATAATGCAGAGCAAGAGAAAAAGGAGGAATTCTACAGACAACTTCAGTCAACACTGGACAAGACGTCAGTTGGCGATATCAAAATTCTAATGGGCGACATGAATGCCAAACTGGGAGGGGACAACACGGGAAGAGAACTAACCATGGGTCGAGAGGCGCTAGGTGAAATGAATGAGAATGGAGAATTGTTTGCAGAATTCTGTGCATTCAACGATTTGGTGATTGGAGGCAGTGTGTTCAGGCACAAGGATATCCACAAAGCGACATGGATTTCACCAGATGGACACACTAAAAACAAATCGACTTTATCTCAATCTCAAGAAAATGGAGACGCAGTCTACTTAACACAAGGTCAAGAAGAGGAGCAGATGTAGGTTCAGACCACTATCTAGTGCAAGGAACCTTCGAAATCAAGTTAAAAGCCTTCAAGGAAGCTGGTGATAGACCTCAATTCAAGTACAACACTCGGAAACTGAAGGATGAAACTACAAAGGAGATCTTCAAAGCAGCCATCAAGACAAAATGGGAGACGTCGAGGGACATCCCTGAAGAAACCTGTGTGGAAGAACACTGGAAGTCTTTGAAAGCTATGTGGAAAGAAACCTGCACAACAGTATTAGGAAGGAAGAAGGAAGACAAGGAATGGATCTCGACGGATACCTGGAAGCTGATAGAGGAGAGGAGGATGGTGAAGCAGAAGATAAACCAGTGCAAGGATGCTCAACGACAAGAGGAACTGAGCACAATGTATAAAACACTGGATAAAGAAGTGAAGAAGAGTGCACGCAAAGACAAAAGACACTTCTACGACACACTGGCAAGTGAAGCAGAACAGGCTGCAGGTAAGAGAGACCTGACGACATTGTATCAAATAACCAGGTTGCTATCAGGGAAGAGACCAACACAGATGAAACCAATAAAAGATGAAGAAGGAAATTTAATTACAAAAGAAGAGAAACAGAGGAAACGATGGGCCGACCACTTCAAGAAGCTCTTGAATCGACCACCACCTGCACTTCGTCCAGAAATACCACCTGCAGCCGCTGAATTACAAGTGAACATAAATCCCCCAACGAAAATGGAAGTCCTGAACGCCATAAAGCTACTGAAATGCGGGAAAGCAGCAGGACCAGATGGAATACCGCCAGAAGCACTGAGAACAGATGCAGAGACAACAGCGGACATGCTCACACCACTATTGCAGAAGGTGTGGAGGGAAGAGAAGGTACCTGACGATTGGAAGAAGGGTTACCTTGTCAAACTGCCGAAGAAGGGAGACCTCAGTGCTTGCAAGAACTGGCGCGGAATCACTCTCCTGTCCACCCCAAGTAAAATATTAAGCCGCATCATCCTGGAGAGGCTTAAAGACGCACTGGATTCAAAACTGCGACCGGAACAGGCAGGCTTCAGGAAGTACAAATCATGTGCAGACCAAATTGCAACGCTTCGTATCATCATAGAACAGAGCGTAGAATGGCAATCAGCTCTCTACCTCAACTTCATCGACTTTGAGAAGGCCTTTGACAGCGTCGACCGAGAAGTAATTTGGAAACTGCTTCAATACTACGGAGTACCGCAAACCTTTATCCGCCTCATTCAACAACTATATGAAGATGCCACATGCCAAGTAATCCACAATGGGAAGCTCAGTGATGCCTTTGAAGTGAAGACAGGAGTGAAACAAGGTTGCCTACTATCCCCCATGATATTCCTAATTGTGGTGGACTGGATCATGCAGCAAACAGTAGGCAGCGAGAAGAGGGGGATACACTGGACGACGGAAAAGAACCTAGAAGACTTGGATTTCGCCGATGACTTATGCCTAATGTCACATAAACTTGAAGATCTGCAGGCAAAAACTAACAAGTTGACAGAAGAGGCAGCTAAGACGGGACTTCAGGTGAATATAGAGAAGACAGAAGTGATGAAGATACCGCACCACCACCATCAACAACAACAACAAACTCCAATCACCGTCAACGGGAGAAACTTGAAGGAAGTAACCTCCTTCACTTATCTAGGAAGCACTGTTTCAACTACAGGCGGGACGGACGAGGACGTCAAAGTCAGAATCGGAAAAGCAAGACAGGCGTTCATTAGCCTGAAACCAGTGTGGAGATCTTCTGCACTCAGCATGCGGAACAAGATACGGATTTTCAACACCAACGTCAAGTCAGTGCTCTTGTATGGCTCAGAGACTTGGCGCGTCACGAAAGGCATTTCCAATAAACTACAGACATTCATCAACAACTGCTTACGCTCGCTGCTGAAGATCAGATGGCCAGAAAAAATAAGCAACAAGGAACTCTGGGAACGAACCAACCAAGAACCTATCACGCAACAAATATGCAGGAAGAAGTGGAGATGGATTGGGCATACACTGAGAAGGCCGACTGAGGACATCACGCGTCAGGCCAGTAGCTCGAGTGGAATCCCCATGGGAAGCGACGAGTTGGACGTCCGTGGTGAGGGTGACATGGAGGAGGTCGTGCGAGGAGGAAATGAGAGCTTCTGGGCTGTC